GAAATCTTGAGGTAAGTCACTTGTGATTATTTCTACTCCATAATATTGAATTATCATCGAATAATCCGACTAGATTACATGTTTTTGAGGAGTAAATTGAAGATTTAGGCCTAGGGATTTGAAAATAAGATTTGAAGATTTGAGGGGTCATTTGAACTCCGATGTTGGTAAATTTATATGTACGGACTCGTGGAGAGACGAGGAATCCGGTGATGTAAANNCACAACATACTGCTATGTTGAGATGAGACACGCGTTGTATGACGAGCGCGGGGTCATTTACTATTGGGGATTGTGACTTGGTCCATCCCAGTTGATATTTTTACCGCGTAATTGATAAAGATTTATTGTTTTTCACTATGATTGGGCTTATTGCCATATTTGGGCTTCGTGCCAATTATCTGAAATCTTTTGTGAATTTACATCACTATTTTCCTCACGAATTGAAATATTATTTGAACTCAGTCCAATTGAATTATATTATTTTGTGAACTCAGCTATATTTATACTCAACTCGAGATTTAATGATATTTATAATGCTGTTGAGCTGAGCACTATTGTTTTACTGATGCCCAAGAGGCTTATGATTATTTTCTGGACTGATTGAGGCCGAGGGCCATACGTGAGGATATGTTGAGTGATGTGAGGAGGCTTTCAGGCCTCGAGTGTTATATGAGGAGGCTTTCAGGCCTCGTGGGTGATGTGTGAAGGCTTTCAGGCCTATTGATATTGCACTTGGGCTGTAGGAGCCCCTCCGGAGTCTGTACACACCCCCAGTGAGCGTAGGGTACCCAGGTGAGTTGGGAGTGTGACCGAAAGGTCGTTGCTTGTGTGTGGTGAGTTGGGAGTGACCCCGAGGGGCTGATGTTGTGTGCTGGTGAGTTGGGAGTGAGCCCGAGGGGCTGATACTATACTGAGATTTACATATTGAGCCCGAGGGGCAAGCTTTTGATTTATCCTTACTGTGGAAATTATTTGTCTTTACTGTTTTAAAAGAAGAATTATCTGATACTCACTATTTTACTGTATAACTGATTTTACTGCTTGGGATAGCGCTATATTGTGCCGTTATGAGATTTCATGTTTTCAGTCGTTATTTATTTTTATTACTCACTGGGTCTGAGTACTCACATTACTCCCTGCACCATGTGTGCAGATACAGGCAGAGCTGAGTTCGCTCCTGAGCGCTGATTCTTTCCAGGCCAGGCGGTGACTAGGAGTAACGAGGTAGCTGTTGACGTCCGCAGCCCCGTTTTCTCCCTTATCTTTGTTATTTATGATAATTCCAGACTTTGTAAAATATTAGTAAACTCTGTAGTAGCTCATGACTTGTGACACCCCGATTTCGAGCTGAGTTGGGAGGGTTTTCCTTGTTCTATCACGTTTATTTCGCATTTAAGATTATATTGCCCATGATTTAGACTTATTCCTGCTAAATAATTATAAAGAGATGTACTGTTTTGTTGATTGGCTGGCCTTTTCCTCACGAGAGGCGCCATCATGACCGGGTTGGGATTTTGGGTCGTGACATTCATATTATAGTTCAAGCGAAACTGTTGAAAACTGTCAGGCAGAGTCTGCAGAGCCATCTCAACTTGAGACTCCTTATCAATCACAGCTCCAAGGACCTCCAGTTCATTCAGAAGACTCATCATCTTCAGAACATGGTCCCAGACCGATGATCCTTCAGCCATCTTGGTGTTCAAAAGGGCTTTCATGGCTGTCTGCATAGCTGCACGATTTTGCTCACTGAACATCTCTTTGAGACATTCGAGCATATCATAAGCAGACCCCATAGACTGATGTTGATGTTGCAAAACATTCGTCATAAAGGCAAGAATGTAACATCGCGCCATCTCATCAGCCTTAACCCATTTGTCATAGGCCTTAACCTGATCATCAGTAGCATTTTCAGGTTTTTCTGGGTATTCCTCAGTGATTACAAATTTGTAACCCTCAGCAGTTAGGACAATATCAAGGTTCCTTTTCCAGTCAACATAATTCGGTCCTTCTAACTTGTTTTGGTTCAAAATTGATGTAAGTGGCTTGAATGAAGACATGGTTAATCTGAGAGATATTTACATTAAATAGATCATTAGTTATGTATTTAGAATGATTAAATTCAAAACAACACATTACCCATATAACCATGCTCATTGAACAGTTAGATTCGTTAGGGAAACTTAACTATTCATGCAAAATATATGAGTGATGTTAGATATTAACCCCATAAATTTAAACAGGACCAACTCAGATGGAGAATAAATTGTTAATTTAAGATAGATAAATATCACTTTTATAAACTCTAGTTTCATTCAATCAACATGTAACTCAGTTGGAGAGTTAATACAAGTAATGAAATAACTAGAGACAAAACTACAGTAATCATCTATAATGAATTTATCCGATGTGGAAGAAGACCTATGTCAACATATAAATTCATTATATTACCATAAAACATGATTGGAAACAATGGGAATTGAACCCTACCATCACAGATTTCTATTAATATTTTTTTTATATATAATTTTTTTTTAGAAAATAGAAAATAAAGGCCAAAACTCCATCTAAATGACCCCGAATGCCCAAAAAATAACGTACATCATCAGCAAAACTGATGAGTTGTTTAAGTTGGGCCGTTTCCGATGAACCTACCAAATTTGAGGTCAATCGGAGTTCGACAAAATTTCAGAATTCTACGCGTGACTAGAATTCTGCTTTTGGCGTTTTAAGGTTTTAATTATTTTGACTTGTTCAAATCACATAATATACTGATATATGTTAACACATGATTTCAGAACTCAAAATAATGTTTTTTTTATTTAATAAAACCATGTTTAGACAGAATTGTAAAAACAATATGTTTTCACTAGTCAAAAACGGTACTGTTCATAATTCTGTATATTAATCCAAAATTACAGAACTAATATCATATAAAATAGCAAGTTTTTATTAATATAACACTGTCATTATGGACATAATGCAACTAAAACAAATTATTGGTATTAATTCACTATTTATGCATATGTATATTAACCCATAATTACAGTATTAATAGCATTAAAAAAAACACAGCCACGTTTTTATCAAAAAAATTGCTATTCAGCAAAAACGTAATTTAAACAGACTGTTATTTAAATATAACACTACTGTTTATACATGTGTATATTAATTCATAATTTTAGAATTAAGATACTAATAAATACAATCACGTTTTTAACATAGAATAATTATCCCAAACATGTATCAATAAATAACACGTTTTAATATTAATCTATGCATGTTGTATTACATTATCTAGTTATATGTAAGACGGCGTGTGATACCAATTGTTAGAACATGCGCAGCAGAAGCAAGCATACTAATCATGCATCAAATACATGTGAACTAGTCAACGCAATAATAACGAGATTAGAAGCACTAGCCTCTTAAAGTAGTTGCACAAACCTTCCAAGCAGCAAGAATCCAGGGCTGCAGTCTTCTGTTATTTGTCTAGTAAAACCTTTGGACGATTTTGCTATTGGGTGGGCAAGAACAATACAACTGAAAGGTATGTTATTAGGTGAAACTAGTCTTCCTTTAATAGACTTATTTTTTGGACGAAAATCCTCCTCCAAAAACGTGTATGATACTCCCCATGTTAAGATCTCAAATACCAGTTAATTAAATTAAATCACTGAAAATTTAATTTAATCAACTAATTAAATCCTTTATAATTCCTCTTAAAACATTTCATGTGACGGATACAAAATTCACCGGCCGGGTTTTCACATGAAAACTTATAAGCTTACATAAAGGGGTATCATCAAACTCAAAACGAGTCATGGATTCTATCAACTAATTATTATTCACAAATGTTATTCGTTATTGTCCGATCTATTAGGCATACACTAACTCTAAATAGAGTCGTACCTTTTGATAAATCAAAACAATAAACAAATTACATTGATCATAATAATTATATTAAGATTAGGAGTATAAACTCATTTAATGAATTAGAGAAAATATTACTCTACTTGGTCCGTTCAATATACACTGAGTATATTAGCACAAGAAGTTGGAGTAAAACTACTCCCATAATCAAGACAAATTATACTATAATCTTATGCTACAATCATCAAGATATTTTGTCCAACAATATCTTTGATTGTGAACATAATTTATTAATTATGAGAACCAACAATTTAATCTTCTGTGCATGAGCTAAGACTCCATACACTAAATTGTCTACTACATAATTAAAAGAACACACATGTAACAAATGATCTATTTAAAATAGTACTTTATTGAATTGAATAAATTAAATAAACAATTATTCCATAAAGAATAAAATATAATACTATGTCTAAACTGCATGGTTAATAGTATATCCCAACAGTAGCATTCAAGAATTATAAGTCCAAGTTTAAAATAATATGTTAAAAGATAAAATTATAATATTTAAGAAATATTTATAATCTACACTACAATAAATATTTTTATATACTAAATACATTTAAAACTTCTATACATGTAATGTCGGGTTGGTTTGGTTCGGTTTGACTTTTTTTTTTTAGTTAAAACCAAACCAAACCAATTATGGTTGGGTTGTTTTTGCCAACACAAAACCAAATTAAACCAAATCATAGTCGGGTTTTTTTACCGGTTTGGTGCAGTTTGTCAGTTTTCTTTGTACACCCCTAGTTGCCACCATCCCGTTTCCTCTATAGCAACCACGCGGCCACCATATTTTTAGTCTATGGTTAGTTTTGGTCATTTTTTATATTTTTATCATCTCTTCCATTTTACATTTATCATTGGAGTTGTCATTCCACGAAAATGTTCGTCAAAAGAACCCTAATTTTCACATTCAAATTTCACTTACAAAAGGAAAAAAAAAGATTTCTCATCACAAAAAATAATCAAAGAACCCATCATGAATTCATGGGTTTTAAATTTCGGAATCTAGTTTTTTCTTCACAATTTTTGTAAATTTTGAAAACTCTTAATAAATTGTTAGACCCAAATGGTAATTTATTGTAAAAAATAAATTTTATGGGCTAGATACTCCTCCATGAACAAAATCCTAATTTTAAATAAAGAAAGGACATCAAATCGAAAAAAATTAGAAATTTTCTAATCGGACCTTTTCGATTAGCATAATATTCTCACTATTATTGTTCGAAAATGTAGAAATGAAGCAAACATCAGATTCATGGTTGTGGTGGTTGCGTGGTGGTTATGGAGGCAAAAGGGTGGTGGCAACTATGGTGATAGTAGAGTTGAAAAGATGGAGAAGCTAATTTTTTTAACAATCAAAAGTTTGGCTATCTTTTATATAGGTCGGATTTTAGGGTTGGGTAAAAAAAAAAGGTTAGGGTGTGTTTATTTAATTGAGGTCATAGTTTAAAATTGGATCAATAAAAATTTTCCACATGTAATAATAATAAACTTTTTTTTGTTTTGTCATTGACCGTTAGTCGTAGGGGCATAAGTAAACTAGAAAGTTAACGATTAGGATTTTATGCTCAATAGCTGGACAGATGACATATTTGTACCAAAATCGAATAGTTTGAGGCTAGTTTTGACCCTTTTACATTTTGTATGTAAATGATAAATTGTAGTACATATTAATGTAATTTGGTTAAATACATAAATAGCCCGTTCAAGTTGTCAGAATATTTGATTTAGACACCTTAACTAGTCGGTTACCTATTGGGTACTTAATGTATGTCTGAAATGTGCCTATTAGGCACCTCATTGATAGTTTCACCATTTTCAAATTTCACACCAAAATGGTGTAACACCAAATTTACTTTAACCATTACACTATTTTTTACACCAAAAAAAAAGAATATTTCATCTCTCTCTTCTATATTATATTATTATCTTCTACTTAAGTTTCATTTTTTATTTCCTTCAAACAAATTCTATCTTCTTCTTTTTTTCCATATTTATCGTATATAATTCACATTCACCGCTTATATAATCATTTATTACAAAATTATTTTTAAGGATAAATCAACTAAAAGTGAAATTATAGATAAAAGATAATTAAATAAATATTACATCATAGTCAAATTTAATTTAAGTACCACATAAATATTCAACTTTTGCCTCTATTATCCAATAAGTGCTCGATTAATGCATTACAAAATGCGAAATGCGCATCTTTATCCTTAATTTTTTTGTGTCCAGCTAAAATTGTTCAAATCGGCGATCTTCATCTACTGTTATTTCTACCGTAGGAACTGGACATTCACGTGCATCTTCAGTTGGTGCACTATATAAACTTATGTTTTATGTTTTTAATGTAACTTCAATTTTAATGTATCCTCTTTTAATGTACTTTAATTATAATGTATATTTATTTTATATATTGTTAATTTCTTTTTTCAATTTTAGTTTTTACTTTTCAATTTTAGCCACATTAGATATCTTACATTTGCATTTTTCATTTTTAAATAATGATTATATTTCTTTTTATACAATTATCATAATAAAAAAATTAACTTATAATTTTATATAAATATAATATATACAAAAATTAATATATCAAAAAATAGGATATAAATTAAATATAAAGATCTTACTATAAAAATTAATTATATACACAATATATGATAAATTAAAAGTTCAAAAATAAAAAGATGTATAAAATAATAATAAATTAAATTTGGTGTTGATGAATAGTGTTGCACCAAATTTGGTGCAATACTATTCATGCACTATAATGGTGCAAGATTTGGTGTTCCATTGGAACAAAAAAAATACCAAATTTTACACCAAATTTAGATTTGGTGCAAAAAATAGTACACCATTGAAAATGCCCTACCAAAATTGAAGTGCGTAATGCACACACGCAGTTGATGTGGTAAAATACCGAATTAGAGAGCAACATGTGGCCGTTCCATTTTGCTTTTGTCCTTCTTCTCTTTTTTCTTTTTTAATTCTCTCCCATTATTTCTGTTTCTCCCCACGATGAAGTTTTACATTTTCACCATTGATGAACCTTCAAAAATGAAGAAATGTTTTCTTGATTTTCCTCACTTGCCTAACACAACTTTTCTTAGCAAGTGCT